TTGTGATTTATGCTAGATCTGTACTYTRTACTCTGCARCTGTGACAAACTTCATTTCCTSCACTAAACTTACGCCGGTTTTATAMTTTTGATTCCTTCTATCGTGTCTATCATCTGTCTTTTTACGGCTGTTCTATGGGACACCCACTGTTTCTAAATCTAACTTTATCTCCTTCGAATAATCTATCATGTTTTATGCCAKATCTGTACTACTCTGCAACTATTTCCAACTTCCTGTCCTTCGCTGTCTTCTATAACGACTTCGCTGGTTCTATACCGTCGTAGACGTCCTCTCGTGTGTCTTATCTCTCTTCTTTGCGCTGTTCTAAACGACATTCACTGTTTCTGTTTCTTCAACTAGCTTTATCTTCTTCGGCTAGTCTATCGCCATTTATGCCAACTCCAACCAACTCTGTACAGTTCTAAATATATAACTCTACCTACCAACTTTGTTGTCACTGCGTGCGTGATGCGTTGGGTATAAATGTATGGAAAGGTACCCCAACACTAGCGCACTATACCAAATATGTAGGGAAGCGCACAGTGTTTTAGCAAATAGTTGTTTTTCAGTAGGTGTGGCATGCTACGTGTCGAATTGTTTTACCATAATCGCTGTGTGTCCGTGTACGTGTATGCATACATAWATGTGTTTGTGTGCGTGATGGCGAAATGTAATATGCTTGTTGAACAATAAAACTCAGATTTCGGAATTCTATTGCGTTTTTAGTGTGATAAAAACGCTATATTAAACCGAACGGAGTAGAACATAAAAGCAACAACAACAAAAATAACAAGAATTAAATCATAAAAGCAGTTGCAGGCGAAATGAAGCGGCACATATACAAACTCACACACACACACATAAATATATTCAGTGCCAAAGCCATTATATGCGTTTTTTTTTATGTGTAGGTGCAGCCAGTGACTTTGTTTTCATTTGTATGTGCTGCACACACACACACACACAGCTGTGCGTTTGTCTTTGCTTGTAGTGGTGATTGTGCGCCAAGCGTTGTTAGTAGCTGCGACAGGACATGGCAGGACAACTGAAATTCCAATCTAACTTGCTAAGCAACACCATTGTATACTTGTATTACAACAATAAAACAACAAAARCAACAACCAGCAAACAAACGGGCAAGCGAGCATTATGTGCACACAATACCGTTAGGCGAAACAAATGAAAAACAAGCTAGCAAAAGTGCAATGCGAAGTCGCTCCTCGTTTGTGTTTCTGTATGCATGGGTGTGTGACGACATTGCACGAATAACGGTAAACTTTTGCAACACGCCGGCGATTCACGTTACCCGCAATCAGACCRCAGCAACCAGGACAAACGGGCAAACAGCTAAGCTTAGCGCAGGGCATCGTCAATAGAGGCTTTAGGTGTATATGTTGTGTATTAGGGTGAGTGAAAAAAAATTTATTTGATAGAGCAGTCAATTAAAACTAAGAGTTTTGTAATTTGAAACATTTTTTTATAAAATTCATAATTTTTTTTTAATACATTTTTTTTTTGTAATAAAATTCATAAAATAACTGCATAACCAAACCATTTGATTTTTCTGGCTTTTAGTAAGAAAAAAAGTAGAAAAATATTAAACGGAGCACCTTCCGGTTACAATTCAGAGCTCTTATTTGGAGATACTTTGAAAAGGACAAACAAACAAAAAACAAAAAAAAAAAAAAAAAACACGTTTTTCTTTTAACCCACCCTAATCTACTTATATGAGTTTGAGTGCATAAATATGTATGTGTGTGCCTAGCTCCGGGCAGCTTTCGGATATGGCAGAGATCGAGTATAGGAAGCTGCTCSCCGCTGCACGCAATTTGAAGCGCTATGACAACAAAACCCCAAACCAAACTTAAAACAACAATAAAAAGTATAAAAAAACACAGCAACACAAATACACGCAAATAAAAGGCAGCAAGCGGTTGCAATTGTGCGAACAACAAAAATGTGTGCCATTATTATTATTATTGCCGTTGTTGTTTTTGTTTTTTCTTGTTGCAGTTGCCGGTATTATGCCCGTTGTTCTTTACGTGCTGACTTTCGAACGACATACTTTTCTGTTGCTTTCCTGCTTGTGTGCATTCCTTCGCAACTTCCCACTCTCCTTTATTGCTATTTATGCCTTTCAATGTATGTGTGTGACGTTGTGTGCAATTGTAATGCAATAGATAATAATAAATTTTTAGCTTAAAGGCTTAAACTTTCAAATGCCGTGTTTGGTAAATAAATAAGTTTTTCTCCGACGCTCGTTCAATGGTGGCCAACTGCGGCTGGAGTGTTCCACTGATCAAGTCAATTGCCCACCGCTGAGCCACTCGAGGCGCACGAAATATGTATGAGTGTGTATTAGTGGTTGAGGATTAAGTGTATTTATTAGTAGTCATTTATATTATCATTATATATAATATTTTGATTTAAGAGTCTATGTGATTTAGAGCAAATACTTTCCGGGAATTATAAATTATATCGGATCTAGAGCTAGATAATATTGCAGTCATGCTTTAATATCTAATAGATAAAACTTCAGCGAGTAATAGACATTATTCGATAATTTACAACACTGATAGCAYAAAACGTTGCCTACATTTAGGCTTTTTTACTTAGATACTGGCAAAGTCGCACACCCTTTTGGCAAAGCAATGAATATTAGATCATCTGATGATTTCAAATATATAATTTAACATGAGTCATCTTGATTAGTACTAAGTAATTTTTACAAATTACATCATCAGTATATCCCTAAGCTAAATACCCTTCACAAAATAATATTTTTTCATGTGGAAGAAGTGGTCTCCGATCACTCTGTTTGTATATACCAGCTATATACCATAGTGAAGAAATTGGCCTTAATATATAAATCGATTAGTAAGACACAATACTGGAAGATTTAAGACATAGGTATGAACGTTGCCTACCTTTAGGCTGGTTTACATAAGCATTAGCAAAGTCGCACACCTTTTTGGCAAAGCAATGAGTTAATGTATAATATATTATCTGATTGTTTAAAGCATTTAGTTTACTATGAGAACTTGATTAGCATTAAATAATACAAATTAGAACATTAATAATAATTATAAATAAACGAATTTAACAAATAAAAAAATTCCATATAAGAACTAGACCTTGATCATTAWGTTTGTAAGGCAGCTGTCTATCATAAAGCTCGCATCGAAATAGGTAAGTTGTTTGAAATTTTAACGCTGCCTATGACAGTAATCTATGCTAAATTTGGCAAAGATTTCAAAATCTGCAACATTATGTAGACAGTAATGCTGTCTGAAAATGCACCTAGCTCTTTAGTATGTCCATTTTGAAACTACAGAAATGGTAATGCCCTTATTATACTGTCTCCTCTCTGAACTACCCGTGCTTTTGATGAAATTTATCAGTACAAGAAGTTATAARTATCTGTACAACCTCCGAATTATCGTCCAGAAATCTTCGTGTCATTGGGTTAAAATAAGAACTTGCTTCCCTTATTAMAACTGACTAATAGGGTGGATTCTGTCGGTCTAAGAGCAGGCATAGCTGCCAGTTATTATTAAATTTACATTAAATGTAAAATGACGTTCAGGGCCTGACTTGGTATTGTTCTAAGAGCTCTACAGAAGCATCTACTAGTTGCTCTTTTTATTTTTCGATAGTACGTCTTATACAATATTAACTAAAATGTTAATGAGCAAGTTAAACGGCACAGTCGCCTAAAAGTATGCTAGGTATATCTACTAGAGTACCGTTGTTAAAATCTTTCGAAAATCGTTTTCTTAATCAACCATGCTTCTTCACACTTTTCAAGAGCTTTCAATTTCTCCGCAACCGTAGCAAGTAATGCTTTGCGTGGTGACGATAAATCTCTATTAGATATAAATTTCGCAATCACTTGTTTTCCCGCTTGGGTACATGCCGCTTTTCCACTGCTACTCACTCACCATTATTGAAAACGTAATAAATTGCTGTTAAAGTGGAATGGAATACAACGAGTTTATACGGAAATGAAGATAAATTATAAGGGTACGTGTTTAGTGGCTGATCTCTCTAGCGCTCTTGCTCTTTTGCTCTCTCCCTCCATATATCTTACATACCCCACACGCCGAATGGTATGCAATGATTGTAGTGCTATTCATACTCGTAAGTGTGATTTGTGGTCGAAGATGTAGTTGTAGTTGTAGTGTGGCTTCTTTGAATGCAATTTTTGAATTTTTGTTATTGTTGTATTTTGCTGTTATCCAGACAATCACAATTTTGCTTCAAATTTCTATACAATCAATTTTATTTTTGCTGCAATTGATCAGGATATCACGGCTATCAAATTTATTGCTGAATTCCGTTATGTAGTGAGTTCTTGCTAGGGTTGAAGGAAGCAAGGGGGAGAGAGAGAAAGAAAGACTCGTATTTGGACTTGTGGTTAGTTGGCTAAGCAGCTTCGAAAATTTCCTTTTAGCTTTTTTCAGTGTGGATTAGCTCAGTCAGTATAATTTTTTGAGCACGAAAAATTTCCTTTCAGATTTTTTCGGTGTGGAAGCCTTGGTATAAGATTTAAACAAATAATGATCAGAATCTGGTTCTATATTCCAACGCTTGTTATATACGTATATCGCGTTCTCTCGCCTTAGTTGAGGCTACAACGCACTTAAGCACCGAGTTTTGCACTGCATAAAAATCCCGTTAAAATAATCTCACTAAAACCCTCCTGCTTCTCACTCTTTTTCATAAAAATAACAGTTCATTCTATAGTAGCTCGTTAACCCATTTTATTGCTGCACATTCAATTATATTGTTTTTCACTTGACCTAAGTATGGCCWTAGCTAATCCCATTTATCTATGTGGCTATTAATTTGAAATATTTCACTAAGCTTACATACATACAACCATACATATACATACATATATATACATAGAGTTTTGTGTATAGTATATTTTGGTATTATACTCATGCTGTTTATTGTTTTATGTCCTTAAGCGAGTTTTATCATTTTATCATTCACACCCGTGTCGAACGTCCGGCTACATAAGCGACTGCCGTTGTTGTTGCTGCCGCTGCCTGCACTAACGGATGTGTACTGGTTGTGTTGTTGTGTGTTTGTTTGGGCCATTGTATGGCGATTTCTTCGAACTCGGTCGGACTATCATCGTCCATCATTTTTATTACCTGTGAATAGATGTTCGGTTCGGCTCGTTTCAGTTCCGTTTGTCGTGGACGACCCAAGGTGGCGCTGCAATAAGGCGTCATGCGTGCTCCATTACCTGGGCCAGCCAATTCGGCGTARGTTAAATCAGTCTGTGGGGGCGAAAGAGTAAATGTGTAAGATTATTTCAAGAGAAACGATATTTTTGTTGTATGTGAAGTTTTTTTCATTCGTCTTCTKGATTAATAATAAACGGATCTATGCRTTTCGGATGGCACTTATTTATTTTTATCACAAGTTGTTGTGGCTATAAACGCAAAATGCATGCTCAGAGACTCTTCAAAATTGGTGTTTCTCATAAAGTAGTCCTGTTCCGTAGATTGTAAACCGCAGGCGACAGTATAGACTTAAATAGCTTCCGATTTTGGGAATCTAGCTTGGTTGCAACAGTTCATCCGTGCATTCAAAGCCCACATATCCATTCGTTCACAGCCAATCACTTGGTTTGAACAGATCATAGATCCATCCATATTTCACTCATCCATCCACCTTTTCGACAARCCATTGGTAATGAGAGAATTTACATGCTCCCTTGCAGCGGCTGTTCCTTTACTTCTGCCTTAGATGACTTTTATTTTCCAACTCTTTGCGATGAACTAGAACTACAGAACTATCAACCGAGAGAGTATGAAATACGAGTTCAAAGAGGTTAACAAGCCGATGTGTTTGGAAGTGGCCCGAAAACTCTACAAAAGAGTCGACGAATACTTGATGAGTAAAAACTTGTAGTAAAACTAAAAATGAGATCCCGTAACAGATTTCGAAAGCACTTTCAAACGCACTCACAAACGATTTTTACCGTTACAATGTTCTTCTACTACAAATAGTTGGATACCTATTGAATTTGAAGATCCATCCGAAACACTGGGTATGATTTTAGGTTTTGATGTTATGGACATCTGGTCATTTGGTTAAGGAAAAAGGATTTATTGGATAAGTTATACATCCTGAAACAATGCACGTTTTTTTTATGTGTGATTCTATAATAGACGGCTTCACTCTTAAGTATATAGCAATCTGTTGGTGCTCCGAATTTGTAACGATTTGCGAAACCTAAAACGGGTTGTCTGGTTTTGTAAACTCCGTTAAGATAGCTAGATAAGATAGTCTGGTACGGACAACAACGATGAAGAAATTCGRTAAAAGAACCACGCTGTCATAAAAATTTCGATTTCGACAAAAAAAAATTTTAATTTATTTATTAAGTCTATTTATAAAAATTCAACTTATAAAATTATATTTATAAATCAGTCAGTGCATTGTTTTCATAAAGCGATTCGAACAATGCTAAGCGACCCGAACCACGCCGTCATTTAGTCGAAGAAGGAATGGTTTATTGATGGAAGTAAAAAAAACCTCGATTTAAAAAACTGAATTTCGAASAAAATKTATTTCGAAAAAATTCGATTTCGAAAAATATGTCACAAAAATCTATTATGAAAAATTCAATTTCGAAAATTTTCGAATTTAAAAAATTATATTTAAGAAGATCTGAGTTTTTTCGAAGTTAATTCAAACGCTCGCCWTAMAAAAGTTACCGTTATAAATAAGTCMATGMATAGTTTTTACAAAGCGATTCGCACAATGGTAAGCGACCCAAACCACGCTGTCATATAGTCGAAAAACCACACTGTATTTTAGTTGACTTGATGTAATTACAACCATCTAACTGGAAAACTTTATGAGGTTTATCGAAAAAGTGAGTTCCAGAGTTTGAAGATACTTGTATGAATAGGGTTCTTTCGAAACTGAAGTATTAAAAATTATTGAGATTTTGTCCGTTCTCGAATAGCGGCGTCGGAAAATAATTGTGATAGCACTTCAAAAATTAATATAACCCGCATTCAAACCCTCAACTGATCCATAAATGAATGTCTCAATTTCCCAAATTGTGTTTAATAACTTAGCACTCTATAATGCGAAGCCATAAATTCAAAACCAAATTTCACAGTTAATTAACACTCATAGATGTTTCGAACAAAGCAAATATCAAAACCAAAACAGAAAAAACAAAAAAAAAAAAGGTTGCCGAAAATGCAACGCTAATGCACCGTTACTAAATCAACTTCGCATTTCACACTTTACGCCTAAATGAAGTGCCGTTGAAAGGTCACTCTGAGCGTGGTTATCAAAAGAGCACTAAGCAATTATGGGTGTGGATGTGTGTGCAACTACGCCGTGCCACCAAGGCAGCCAGCGGTCGCACCACCCCAAAAAACCGAGATAAAGTGGAAATGGCATAGAACTTCGCGTGAAATATCCTTCCAAAGCGCGAACAATGCGATATTAACCATGGAAATTATGAGCACGATAAACAAGAGCCTGCAATGTATGGCACAAAAACACGCTTTGGGAGCTCGTAAAGTGCGCCGGCCGCAACGACAATGCCGCGTTGCTGCTGCCGCCTTCACCGCTGTCGCCTTCAAAAGCACGCCTTCGAGCAGCTCAATAGCAGAGTTCGAATGTTGGCGCTGTCCACCGCAATGATGCTGGTAATGTTCTTCTGGCCACATTACTGGCTTGGCATTGTTACTGTACCGGCGCAAAGTGATTGAAAATGCATTTAGCCGCAACGCAGCGCTATGCTCACATATATATACAAGTTAACAATGGCCGACAGTTGCTCGTAGTTGCACAATATGCAATAAGTGTAGCAGCATTTTGGGCGCGGTGTAGAGATACGCCGTCATTGCTGGCAACCCACAGCCATCAGCGATATCCGACGCGCCGGTTTGTTCATTTCCTGTTAAGCATTGCAATCATATGGCACACAGACACACACTGTGACGTGGAACGCCGTGCAAATTGCTTACTTGCAGCAATGAAATAGCAATGCCTTTCAACAATTTTCAATAAACCACATTGCAGCGTGTCAATGCAGCTGGTCTTCTCGGCTGGCGGCAGTCTTTGATGTGTCTTATTGGCGAATGCGTTGAAGATTTGGACACTGACAGCCCGTGATCGGACGTGAATTGCATGCTTTCGTGCATTATTAACAGTAATTATAATTCTTATTTCTAATCTGCACTCCTAAGTCTTGAAGGAGTCAAATTTACGGCTATACAGTTTGGTAAGCAAACATTTTCAATATTGTTGGTAACAAAAATGTATTATAGAACTAAAACGTTCCACTTGTTCAGTTATTCACAAAAAATATAAATGTTTTATACAATTAGGCGAAAATACATAAAAATTTAGCCAGGACACACATCCTTAATAAAGGCAATATTCAAACTAGTTGGCCAATGAAACTGTTTAATGTGCTCAAGTTTTTAAAGTTTAAATACAATTTTAGTTTAACTGTGGATATTTCATATTTTCCTGTTATTTTATAAATCGAATAATATATAATTGAAGCTTATGATGGTTTTAGAATCCAATATTAACATAACACCAACCCAGTCATATTAGAAAGCTATTCAAAGCGAAGACGTACATCTATGTTATGATAGATGAAGTGAGCTTCCTTTCAACTCTATAATAAAGCAATTTAAATACATGCTTCTCGTGAGCATTTTTCAAGATGATTTCAGCAATTGGATCAGTGATTATATGATAAAGAGAGCTGCGGGATATCGGTATATTTACTATGCTATAGATTCGATTTTATTAAAATCATGGCATTATATTAAGGAAGTAATGTGCTGTAGACAAGCATTAAAGCGCTAGAAAACTTAAGCAAAATTACAAGACTTTTTCCTCTCAAACCGACAATAATACCAGTTGTGGGACTCACACTGGTAAAATCTGGAACAAGCTAGAGTAGTTACAACGCAGAAATCTGCTGATCTTGAACCAAATTCGATAAAGAGAGGTTAGTAGAAAACCAAAAGAATCATAAAATAGCTCAAAAGTTGAAGAAATATGAACKATTTTTAAATCGCCTTCTCGATAAACAGCAGTAATGATAATGTGGAAAAGTGCCAAATGCCTAGCCACAGTGAAATTAATCCGATTTTGAGACGATCCAATAATTGTAAAAACTGAYACAGAAGAAAGGGATCATAGAAACGTAATAAGTTACACCGTATTTAAAAGCCTGGAGGCGCCGTTTTTGTCAGCTGGTTTACCTGGTTTACTCTCAAATGATTACTTGAWCTTTAGAACCCACTGTCCATGACTATTTAACAGGAATTGTTGATGGTGGCAAAGTATTATAGACACTCACCTAACAGAATATTGGATAACCAGTAAAATTATCACCTTTTTCGAGGGTGCCTGTCTTAACTAGGGTGTTTGTAAATTACGAGAGTTGGGGGTATAGGCAAATCCATAAACTGGAACGTGAATAATACTTCGTAAACTTGCGATATGAAGCTTGCGTAGCTTTTCGCTGAAACCACCTGATGAGTCATTTATTGCTGGGAGTTTAAAAAAATTAATGCGATTTCGAAAAAATTTCGACTTAAAAAAATTCGACTTCGAAAAAAATATATTTCGAAAAAAAATCGATTTCGACACAATTTGAATTCGAAAAAATTCTTTTGAAAAACACAATTTCGAAAAAAAATTCTGTTTTGAAAGAAATCTTTTTCGAAAAACTCGATTTCGAAAAAAGTTTATTTTGAAAAAATTTAATTTCKAAAAAAATATATTTCCAAAAAGTTCTATTTTGGTGAATTCACGTTCGAAAAAAATTGATTTCGCAAAAAATCGATTTCGAAAAATTAGATTTCGAATTATTTTTCGAAGTCAATTAAAATTGCTCCCCACACAAAAGATACCGTTATAAATCAGTCAGTGCATTGTTTTCACAAGTCAATTCGAACAATGCTAAGCGACCCGATTTATGCGTGAAAAAACAAAAGAGCAATGTACCGAAATGCATTTAGGATTATCAATTTTCCAAATGACAGCCGAAACCGCCGAACAACACCGTCGTAAAGTGTGCGAAACAGTGCGCACCAGCGCATAARCGACCATATTTTGTTGTCGGCCACCGCATGCGGCAACATAATGTGGCAACATTTATGCGCAACGGTGATAAATTTCTAAGCCACACAGTGGCCGCTATAAATAAGCACAACTTGAGCGCACATTGTTGTTACATTGGCGCGATGTGATGCTGTGTTGCAAAGGTGCGGCGCTTTGTTGCAGCCRAGCCGTCTGAACGGCACTGCTTGTAATGGCTCGGCCTATTTGGCGACAATTGGCTTGGTTTTGGCTTGCTTAGAGCGCTTTGAGCTTAATTTTGTGTGTTTGCATGTACCTTATTTAGTGGCTGCTGCGCCTGTTGCTGTTGTTGTTGTTGCTGGTGCGCAGCATATCCGCCCATTTTGCTCACCGGTATCAGCGCATTGTAGTGTATGTATTGGCCGTGTGGCGGTGGCGGTTGTTGTTGTTGTTGATGTTGTTGCTGCTGCTGGTGTTGYTGTTGTAATTGTTGCAAATGCTGCGCTGCCGACTTCTTATCGACAACAGCATATGTTGGCATTATATGATCATACGTGGATGAGGTGATGACGGCGTTCTGCTCCGCCAGCGCGGCTGTTGCATAAGCGCGATTATGTCCCTTGGTGGTCCACTCCTCGTCATCGTCACGGCCATCTGCAAACATAGAGAGACAAGAAACAAGGCGAAACAAGTCGACATTAATTATAGTTTTGCATATTTGCAGATGTGTATATGTGTTAGTATGTGTGTATGGAAGACCAGTTGGCAGCAAGCAATCACACATACACACACACTACCACAAACCATTACCGTTACTATTGCGCAACTGTAAACGGTATTGTATTGTGTAGTTGTTGTCACCCACCTTGCGGTATTATATCCGGATTCTTGTCTATGCTATCTAAACTGCTCGTCACATGGCAGGTATCCCGACCGATGCGTATATCCTGTATTGATTGGCCATTGTGTAGTGTACCGATGCTGACGCTGCCATTATTATTATTGCCACGCCCAGTGGTCGTCGTTGGATGCGAGTAATTATTGCGATCGCGTCCCGTCGAGCCGCGCATGCGAACAATAATGACAATGATAAGCGCCACCAGGAATATGCTGCCCACAATGCCGACTAGTATGCCGAGAAATGGCCGGATATCCTCGATTACGGGCGCATAGGCGAGCGAGAGATCTAAAAAAAAAAACAAAAAGATGGAATACAATGATGTTACGCATTGGCAGTGGTGAGAATTGATGACCGTTATTAGTACATGGACAAGCGTAGTTTAGCGATGAAAGGATATTGTGGTTGGGGGGTTTGTTTACAAATCATTTATGCCAACCACTGCTACAGTGAAGTAAATGTATGTATTAGGGTGGTCCTTAACTGCTGAATATGGATTTTTTCAATAAATTTCCTTCAGTTCAGTTCTTCTATCAATGGCATAGCTGAATATTTTTTGATGTCGATTTGAGTTGGTTTACTTCACAAAATTTTAGTAAAGATACAAACTTTTTCTAAACTCGGTACTAATTTCATCAAAATTACATATGAGTTTATAATACATGAGAAAACTATTTGTTTTTGAGCGCTTCTCACTCTCTTTAACCAACCCCAATGTGTACTACCATTAATATGTGTTATAGCTGAAACCGATTTTTGGTAATATTAATATTTCGACATTGTAGACAAATGGAAATTGCTGTTTATATTAGTACCGATTTTCGGTAAAAAACAAACTTTTTTTACCGATTGTCGGTACTATTTGAAAATTTTTTAATTATTTATTTTTAGTCATAGGCTAATTGAAATTCCAATAATATGTAGTACCGATTTTCGGTAAGAAATTAAAATTTTTTTTACTGTTTTTCAGTAATAGTCGAGCATATGTGTTTACTAATTTTTTTATTCATAGACAAATAAAAATTTCAATTTACTGCAGTACCGATTTTCGGTAAAACTCAACATATTTTTTAACGATTTTCGGTAATATTTCAACATTTTCGTCATGTTGTATCATTCACAAATCGTAAATCATATCTATTTTAGTACCGATTTTCGGTAAAAACCCAACTTATTTTATTAAGAATGTACCGTGAAATCTGAACATATTCATTTAGTTTTTTTTTTGTTTTTTGTTTGTAATGAAAGACAAATTTTAATTGATTTCAGTACCGATGTTCAGTAAAATATCAACATCTTTTTTTTACCGATTTTCGATATTTCAATTTATATTAGTACCGACTTTCGGTAATATTTGAACATTTTTATTTATTTTTTCATATCGAAATTTCAATTTAATATGTGTACGGATATATGAAGTTCCTATCATTTGTTTGCCTAAGGACCACCCTAATGCATATGTCTGATTTTTTAATGCGTATGTGTTGTTTATTGGACACTGGGGACTGATTGTTTGTATTCTTACTTTTATCTGTTTTAATTTTTGTTATTGTACTGTTGTAGATTTGTGTTGTTAGAATACTAGTGGCAGTTGTTTGTTCATAAAAGCGTGGCGGCGCACTCATGCCACCCTTTTTGTAAGTAATAACGACTAAAAATTCAAAACAAAATTTAAAAGAAGTTTATGTGTAATAATATAAATTAAAATAAAAAACTCCTTTATTGAAATAATGGAAAGGAAAATTTATGAATGAAAAAATAACTTAAAATTCAATAAAGATATTTTGAAGTATCTACAACTTAGGCTTTGACATTTGACATTCCTAACTAAGATAGTAGCTACTAACCTAAACATTCATCAATCTCTCCTTATAGTTTAAAACCGTCTATTTTGCCGACGATTCAGACTACATTGATATATGTAGTTCAGGTTTTTGAAGATGTGGACACAATATTGGGTAGTCCAAAAAGTCTTTTCGTATTTCTACTCAAAATTTAACTTACTTTTTTTATATTTATAATCAAAAAAAAAATAAATACATATAAACCATTTTAGCAATATTTGAGCAGCTTATCACTTATCTAACTGAAACTATTAAAACCATAGCAGGTATAAATCTTAAAGGCACTTATTGAGTGGTTGTCGGCTAAATGCTGAGGCGCTTGAGTGTAATTTCGGTAGCAACTTTGTAATCATGTCGGTACAAGAAGTAAAAATCGGACCCACAAAAAATGTTCATGTCGAAATAATAGACTTTGCAAAGTTAGAGAGGCTAGAGACAGAGCCATTTACAGAGCTCTCAAAGTTTACTCTCTCGTGGATTAACAAGAGGGTAACATTAAAAAGGTTGCAAAAATCTGCTGCATTTTCCGAAAAGGACAGAGCTAATGTGAAAGATATCCCAAAAAATAATATACAAATAAAATTAAATTAAAATTTTTAATTAATGAATGATATCGAAGTGAAATTAAACAAAAATTTAGATTAAAATTACTTCGAAGAAATTAATGTTATTAAATTGCAATGAATTAATTTTGTACATAATATAAACTTAGTAATATTAATTTAATTTAAATTCCATTAAACCAAAGTATTTTAACCGATTTAAAAATATTTGAACTCAAATATAATTAATTTAAATTAACACATTTTTTTTTAATTCAATGGTTATAAATTTAATAAAA